AATGCGCGGCAGCGGCTTCCTCGGCAACGGTGGGCCCGTTTGCAGTTGCAAGATCCGCGCCCCGATCCGCGTGACACGCGCGGGCGCGCTCGCTGCGGTCGAAATTTCTGACCAGCCAGGTCAAAACAAAATCCCGAGTCGATCGACCATTCTGGCTCGCGCGCCGCCGGGGCGGCGCCGGAGCGAAGTGGAAGCCGCGCGCGGCCGTCGGAATCCCAGACAGTGCGTCACTATCGCATGAGTCTGTCTGCCGACTCGTGCGGGCCCCCATTCAGATGGGGCCCTGGGATAGGGCGAGATTGGCTGCACCTTTCTTGGGTGGCACTGTTGCGGAGTTCGAGCTCGAGCTGATTAGCCTGTTCGCGAACGACAGTGTCAGAGTCGCTTGTGCGCGATATGAGACGGCGCAGCCCCGCGCCATCAACAGGGCGAGGTCGCTTCTTGCAAGAGATCAGCTGCTTCTGAAGCCAGTTCGCCGAAGAGGGTGGCCACTGGCAACTCGGAAGCGTCCAACTTGTCAACGCATTGCTTGCGCGTGGTAAGAGTCGATCGATCTCGTTTTCGCGATCGTCGTCTCGAAACGAGCCACTTGCGCTCGCTGCCTTCGCGCGCGCCCCCCAGGCTGGGGGGGCGACCCCGGAAGGCCCCGAGACGACCTCGAGCCAGCGCCTCCTCCTCCGTGGGCGAGGGAGGCAATGGTGCCTCTTCTCTGACGGAGAAGCGGAATGGTGCCGCGGGAAACGCGCGTCTCCTCGCCCTGAATTGGGGCTGCGTCTACGATCCCACGGGCCGCGCGCGCGCCCGCCCGCGGGGCCCTCGCCGTGGGCGGGGCTCCGGGGCGAGCGGTTTTCTGCTGCGCTGGGATCGGCCGCTAGTGGGACGGACGCCCTGCGCCTCCACGAGAACGGCTCTCGCTCGGGCGCCTGCTTCGCGCGAGACCTGTATCTTCGGATTGGCGGGTCCTGTCATCTGCTCGGGAAGGAGATCTGGGCTCCTCGCGCGCGCTGGCCCGACTGGCGGGGCCGGCGCCCGCGGGCTGCTGCGACCCCTCTGGCGAGGAGCAGCGCGCCCCTCGCTAGTCTCTTCGGCCAGGCCCATCGCGCCCCTCATGATTCGAGCGTGCCGCGCAGATCTTGTCTTCCTCAACAATAGGTCGCCCTGCTGCTGAAGCCTTCCCCCCACTTGCCACTTGTCATCTGCCTCGTCGCGGGGCCGAACGCCGCCTTGATCTGCGCCGTGTGCGGGGCGGCCTCCGCGCTGGATGCAGTCGCCGCGTGCGCCGTGGTCGACTGGCATGGCGCCCTGGTGCATGTTTTGTTAGGAATTTTTCTACACCTTGAAAACAGTTGTCTATTAAGGAATTTCCAGCGCCGCGCGCGCGCTTTGTCGGGGCGGCCGCGGCCCAGCCCTTCTGCGGCCGGCCAGGGCGGCGGCCGCTGGCGTTCCACGCGCGCCACGAACAAGGCTTTCACGGCATTGTTCGCGGGCGCAGTGGCCACCCCAGAGGGCGCGCCGCCCCGCGCCCTAGAAACTTGCTCGGATTGCTCTCGAACGTTTTCGCGGAATCGAAGCGGAGTGCGTCCAAGACGCAGCCGTCTGCGTCGACTGGCCCGCGCCGATCAGGGACCGCAATGAGAACCTGTCGCCCTTTCGCAAGGCCGCTGCCGGCCGTCGCTTCTGCCCCGCGAATAGTTGCCCCTCGCTTGGGGTCATCGCGTTTCAGACTCTCGCTGCGTGCAGTTTTTATCTTCGCGCCCAGCGCATTGAAGTCGCCGCTGCCAGCGATCGCGACAAACGCGGCATATGTGCCCTCTGCAGTTGGGGACTGAAGCCGCCGATTCTGCGCCGGGGCAGGCGCGGCTGGTCTGTCGCGCTGTTGCGGCAGGGTTGGTCGGCAGCCTTTGTTCCCTCGCGGCGATGCTTCCATCGGCAACGCGTCGGGCAAAGGGGCCTGGGCCTCAGCGTGCGGTCGCCAAACTGCGGGTGGTTCAGCGGCAGGTTGCCTGCTGCGACTTGCCCTGGCGCATGCAACGATCCGACTGCAGGCGGAGGGTCGTCGCCACCGACCATCCAATTTCGCCGGTGGCGATGGGGCGCCATCGCCCCTCGCCGCGCCACAAAGTGGCCTCGCATGTCTCATGACTGGCGGAAGCTGCCTCGCCATCGCAGCAAATAGAACCGCTATTTCTTGATGGCGGCCGTTGGCAGTTCTCGTCGCCTGCCCCAGCTCCATGTTCATCCTGCCCAAATCAGCGTCAGCCTCGGTGCGGACTCCTCGCCATTTTCAAGGTGACGGTCGCTGTTGTCCTTTGCGGGGTTGCTGTTGGTCAAGTCCAGCCTGTCAGATCGGTCACGCGGAGGCCGAATTTTGCACTGCAGATCCAAAAGCAAAGACTTTTGAACCGCGCCACCATGCATTGACAAACTGTATTGAGCACTCTCTAGCAATGCTCAAACATTCCTATAAGCAGACGATCGATGATCACGTGTGTTGTGCCCCTGGGGCAATTTGGGCCGCTCCACGCTTCATACGAGCCCAGCTGGTAGCAGCAAACCCCATTTGCATCACCAACTCAATGTTTCTCCAGCGTCCGTGGGAGCTGTCGGAGGTCACCTTCGTCAAGTCCGATTAGTAGTTGTTGGTGCTGCAGAAAGTGTTCTACAACACTAATGCACCCGACGAGGTGTGTGATCCCTTGGCCCACTACTCACTGGTCAACATCTCTTGTTTGAGCGCTCGCCGCTACCACGTCGCCCATACCAGCCCGAGCCTCTAGGTCAACCCTACACTCCTGTTGCGCCTGTGAACACTTGCGGGCTCCTCGGGGAAAAAAAAACCACTGGAATGTGTCAAGAATGGCTGTCTGTTGTTCGGGAGCTCTGCTTTGCTCCCGGACTCCCAACTGTTGAGCATTCGCTATATGATGTTTCAGCTGTCGAAAACGGCCTTGGTTGTGCGGAGGGGGCGGCCGATCTTGTGCCTCCCGAGGTCCTGTTTTACACCGCGAAGTGGACCCTCTCGCGCGTGGTCGAAATGGGAACTGTCGAGCGGCAACTCCCGTTGGAATTGCATTCCTGCGCGGGGGGGGCCTCTTGTTTTCAGAATCCATGCGGGGCCTGGCGGCGCTGGTACTGGCGGCAGGTTGCCCTTTCGCGCGGCCCCTTTTCCAAGAGTTCGTGGCGGTTGGGTTTCACCCTGTCTTTTTACCTGTAGCACGTTGAACCAATGCGCCTTGTCCGCGCCACGCACTGCTTGTCTTCGCGCGACCTGTTGTAAATTTTCCGTGCAGAAAAACGCACCGCAGATGATGGCCTCGAAGGTCGCTTCTAGCGTGCCCGGAACGTTCATATTGCGACAATCCGTAACAATCCTTCGGCTGATACTGTGAGGTTGGGATTTCGAGCTGCTTGGATTTATTGGCACTGGCTCGCCTTGAAGGCGGCCAAGTTCCTGTATCAATAATGTAAACCCAACAATGCCGAACGAGATCGGCGCGGCCAAAAACTAAAAGCAACACCCAACCCGCTTGCAATCGATCTTCACGAGAACAACGCAAGGAGGGAAGGACCCTATATGTTGCCTGCCGCCTCGCGGGCCGAAAATCCGAAAATGCTGCGGCCGCGCGCGTGCGTTACTCTCCCTTCCCTTCTAGCAGCAGCGGCAGGAGGGGACGAGAAAGGGCGGAGCAGGTACGGTCAAAAACGGACACGGGACCGACCCGAACCCCCAGGCGGGGACTCCGCCAAGAGACTCCGAGGGATCAATTCAGGAGGAACGATCAAGATTGGGGCTTTCGGCGGCCTGGAAAACCACTGCCCGACAAGCCCGTGCCCGGGCCGCGCCAGACCGTCGGAAGTTCGGAATCGAATCGAATCAAGCCTGCCAGAGTCGATATCGAATCGAATCGATCGGATCGAAATGGACCCTGCAAAAGTGTCAACATCCTTGAGCACTCATTATCCATACTGCAGTCAACGTAAAAAAAGCCCGCCAGGTCGAAAGGTCCATGACGGTGTGTTCAGACGCCCAGCGCCTCACAATTTCGGTGCTGAGGTCGGCTCTGCTCTGGGGGTTGGGTTCCGGACGCTGTTTACATCAAGGAGACGAGATCTGTACATGCAGATCCACCGCCCCTTGCCATCCCCATCCTGGGCCCCAAAGCCCAGGAGCGAAGTATACCTGGCCCTGTCTTGGCTAGAGGGGACATGTACACTGCTCCTCGGCCCAGGGCGAGCCTGGCAAGTGGCGGCGGGTATGTATAGATCTCGTCGCCCTATGCCTGCGCTCCGATAGAGGCTGCAGAGGCAACCTCGACCTGGGAGTCCCCAAGGGTGGCCCATCAAAACGACACGTTTTGGATGGGCGCTTCGCATGCAAACCCAACAAAGGCAAGGGCAGCATGCAAGCAGGCAGGATGGCCATGCATCCTGAGGGGCGCCCGGGCTGGTCGGCAGGGGCACTCGTGGCTCCTGGCACGCTTCGCTGCGACTGCCTCCTCTCGATCGGTCTTCCTTATTCGACCGGCGCAACATATGGTTAGAATAATCAGCCCAGGGCGGGCCCCCCCGCAGCATTTGCCCCACGGAGCCATCAGAACAACGGCGGGGCCCAGTCCGAAATTTGACGCGAACCCCCGCTGCAAACACCTCGCGACAAACCAGACCGCCGAAATCCGCGCCAGGACCGTCGAACATCTTCGCCGGACCACCAAAATCGAGGCTGGGGCCCGCCGATCGTTGAACCTTGAACGATCGGCGGCTTTTCGATCGCCAGATCCTTCAATCTTTGCCGATTCCAGGGCACTGGCGGCGTTCAACCTTAAGCGCCCGCGGCGGGGTCGCTGCCGCGTCGACACGATACGAACCTGAACCTAAAGGGCGCTGCGCTTAAAGGGGAGCCCTAAACCTGCCACCGCGCCCCAAACAGTGCCGAAAAAGGCGCGCCTTCCTTCATTCCCGTCCGATTTCCCCCCCGTTGCCGTCCGCCCGAATCTGAAGGC